TGATCCTAAACAAAATATCTCTCAACACTTCTTTTTGAAGGTAAAAAGCCCAGCAAAATGAAAAGAAACACCCTTTGGTGGATTTCTTTTATGCATATTCAGTGATGCATTCTAACCAGAAACTCACAAAGAGCTCGCACAGAGTCCAAGATCTCACCCTTCTATCCTTAACTGAATGCCAGGCTGGGCTGGACTGCCCGGCGGCAGTTACCACAGACAGGACCGGAACAAAGGCCACTGGTGAGCGTGTATGTGTGGAGGTGTCCAGGTACTGCTAGGCTCGGGAGAGGCTTGAGGGAATCTTTAACATTTACTTATTTATTTAAAGTATTTGATACAGTATCTCACTAAACAGCTTGGACTACTAGTGCTCCTCCTGTTTTCAGCTTCCCCAGCGCTGGGATTACAGACATTTGCCACCACGCCCAGACTCGGTGGCTGGCGCAGTCTACCCAGAGGCAGGGCCAGCACAGCATGTGAGTCCTGGGATCGAAACCTGGTCCCTGCGCTTGCCTAAGCAGGCACTTAGTCCGCTGAGCTATCTCGTTGGCCCTTGATAATTTCATTTTCATTAGCACTGTTGGCCGTACAAATGACTGCGCTCCTTCGGGGCAGTGGTGCAGGGCCGCGTCTCCGCGCCTGCGTCCATCATCTCATCTCTCTCTTTCCCGCCACCCCTTGGTCCTTTTCCCACTGCTGAATCTTGAGACTGGCCTGGCTGCCCATCGATGACAAAAGTATGCAGAGAGTGTGAGCATGCACGGTGGAGCTCTGCTCTCCCACTGAGGAGGGTAAGCTCGCGGGAAATGGATGCACCTTGAGCCCATAAGCAAGCAAAAAAGGAATCTGACACGCAAGCTTACGTGCTGCATGGCTTCTTTTCTGAGAAATGAGCTGCAGGCAGCTGCAGGTCTCTGTACACTGGGGCAGAGATGCCGTCCAGAGCGCTGCGCTCCCCCTGCCATCCGGCGCTGTGGATGCTTCACGCCAGGTCTTGAGATTTCTCCTCTCTTTTCTGTATTCCAGAGATGAGCCATTGTTCTTCCCGGCCCTCGATGTTGAGCCCAGGTAAAATGCCTGGGCTCCTGTTACTGTCCCTCCTCTCCTGCGGACTCTGCTTCCCTTCTATCCTATCCGGGGAGGGGACTCTGTGGTGCCTGGGTGCAGACAGTGTGGAGCAGAGCTGCTCCAGACGCTGCCGGGCGCCTGGGTCCAGGCCTTGCTCTGACCCCACCTCTGTGGAACAGGGAACTGTCCCGTGTTTCGGTCTGTGGAAAGGAACTGCTGCATTCCTCTTTCCCAGTTAAAAATCTTTGGGAAACTTCATGTAAATTATCAAGCATAAATCACTCACGATAATGCAGAAATGCCTGTTGGACTGAAGAGTCCAAGAAACATCTGCTATATGGTGATGAGGGAAGAAAACACAGTGAAGCATCTGCTCGTTTCTCGTCCACCACCAGGTCTAACCCTCAGGGGTAGCTCTGTGCCGTAAGCATGTCGCTTCCGAGTCAACTCCTTCCAAATTTACGAAGCACATTCTCAGATATTTTCTGCTATTTTTCTAATAAATAAATTGTGCTTTGAGAAAATAACACAGTCCTAAACTTTGCATTTATAAGCTCTAATTTACTTGCAATTCAGGAGCCTAACACTCCGAGTTTACCACTCAGGAGCTGAGTCTTGTGAGGTCCAGCGAGCCCTCAGGTCGGTCCCAGCCGCTGCTGTTCACTCTTCGACTCCATGCTTGTCCACGCGGCATGCGTGTGCACTCCTGTCCTAAACCCCAGCGCACGCAGTTGCTTTCATTTCCCCTTGTTGCAAGATTAGAGACTGGGCCGGGCAGACAGCACTCAGCCTGATGCATCCGCGGGGCAGATCCAGGGCACAGCAGATGCCGGGCCAGCTTTGTCCTGTCCCCCTGGAGCTGCACCAAGGGACATCCCCTGTGTGTTCAGAGCCTCCTGTCAGCTGACATGGCTCAGGCTTGGGAAGAGAAATGGGTTTAGGGTTCTTTCTGTGGAAGAAAGAAGGTCACACCTTACAGAACTCTTATATTTTATCCTAAACGTGGACCCCGAACTGAAGGGAAACTCAAGAAGGAGAGGGTGCCAAGAACACCATCGCTGTTGTCAGCAAGCTCTAGTAATGATGTTTCATGGCAGACTTTCAGGCATAATTCTTTCTGCAATTAATAATTAGATAGTACAATTGCAATCACTGTTGCTTCAAGGTATAGCTTAAACAGACTTAAAATATTTGTTTTGCACAGTCTTAATGTACTGTCAGGAACATGTTTTGGTAGAATATAAGTTCACTTGAATCACACGATACAATAAGTTTTAATTTTCCCAATTTTTCATATCTATTTTGTGTACAATAAATTTATATAAACTACAGCAGAGCACACAGTGGACGAAATTCCATTTTCACTGTCTGCTGACAAGTGGTAGATCAGACTGCTAAGTCTGATGGAATGAAACCAACTGTCCAGGAGGACGCAGCAGGTGCCCTCTGAGGGGTGAAGGCAGTGTTTCCCACACTGGTCGCCCTTCCTCATGCACCCACAGGTGTGGTACGTGGCTGTCTGTGCCCACAAGTGTCTCTGGTCAGAGCTGGCTTCCACAAAGCATGCGCGTACCATTTCCCACCTGAGGTGCATGTGTACTCCACAGTGCTGCCCACGAAGCACAGAGGTCGCAGCCTTTTGCTGGTCAGGAGCTCTCCAGCTCTCTGAGGCAGGAGTGAGCACATGACAGCAGGGTGAGCCTGTGCCTGTGTGCACTGATGCAGACTGGGGCATCCCATTCGGTGCTGGCGCTGAGCAACAGAACTATCACTTACGTGCTGCAAAGCAACATTCCCTTTGGCTTTCTGCCAGCAGCCACCAGGAGTGCATGAAATGTTAGGACCACAGAACCAGAAAAAGATGCAGAAGCCTGGCTTTACTGGACCCACAAGCACAGGACACGCATGAGGACCAGCCTGCTCTCCCTTCCCTGGAGGTCCCCTTGGTGGCCACAGCTCCTGACCCCAACTCTTCCCAGGCTAGGACTTGCCCGGGTGATGCCATTTATCATTCACTTTGGGATGACAATCTCTCCCAAGGAGTCAGAAGCTCTAATCCACCCGCTTGTTTCTCAGGGAACTTGGTCTCATTAGTAGGTGCTCATTAAAATGCCTTACACTGGTCAGAGGAAAGAGTGAGATCCAAATGCTCCACTTCAGGCCTGCTTGAAATGCCGTCTGTTTTCAGTTAAGCCTCTCTGTCTCCTGGCTTTTGGTCTCTGTAGATAAGGGTGACAGTACTGCAACCCCAACCCCGGTCTGTCCGTGTTCCGGAAGGAAAGTGCTCGCAATAGGGAAGCGAGATAAATCTGGCATTGCCCTCAATTCCTACTATGAGAAATGAAGAACAGAAGGGAAGGGGGAGCAACACAGCTCTAACGGAGGATGGCGGAGCATGTGGCTTGTGAGCCCCTGCCTGAGGAACCCTGTTCAGTCAGTTGGGACTCAGGGTTCAGAGGAGGGGAATGGCGTCCAGCAGCAGGCCTTCAGAGGGAGCCTGACAGGCCTGAGGTGGGGTCGCTGAGCAGAATGCGCAGCCCCAGCTCACGGCCAGGCCCTGGACAGCACTGCCGCTCACCTGTATGGCTTTCAGTTCTTGGCCATCAAATCCCACATTTCAGCCTTTCAGAACAAGTGAATGGCTTTTCCAGCCCTGAACTCTTTCAAAGGGACATTCGATAGGGTAACGGTGTTCATGACAGAAACACACTTGCTGAGATGCTTCCAGCCAAGCAATAAGTGGAATTTTCTCTCCACAACTTATGTAGTTATTGGGGATGAGGGACTGTGTCCAGGAAGGACTATGATGACAGAGTATGGCAGAGTTCAGTCATGCAAGGCAGAAATGAAACCCTAAGTCCAAGGAGGAGGTCTGCTTCCCTGACTCCATCATTAGACAGGAGGGAGAGCCCTGGAGCACGCGCCATGCCCAGGGAGACGGTACTGGGGCATTTGCAGCACCACACGTGTGCAGTGAGCAAAGCTGCCCGGAAAGCAGACACGGGTAAGAGGAGACGTACTGCAACATCAAAATGGGCATAAGCTGGAATAGTCGTCTTTTTGTTTTTATGCAAAGCTACTGACTGACAGCTTTGTTGATGAGATCAAGCAGGCAATGAGAAAAAAAAATGCTTTGAAGAACCTGTGGGGACCACACTGTTAAGCAATGGGAGATTAGTGGCAACTGTCTGTGTACTTGTGGGGAGAGGAGATTATGCAAGTGCTGAGGAGATTCAAATACTCGCGAGGTTGGCTGTGAAGGCAAATGCTATGCTGAAGCTTCGGCAGAAGGCATGACAGAGCTGAGGTCAGCAGCCCTGGGCTTCCCAACGCTGGAAAAGGCATCTGCACAGGGGTGGGGGTGGGGGTGGGACAGTTCCAGGGGAGGCCCATGGCGGGGACTGGACTCCACAGCTGTCCCTCCAAGCCCAGGGCTTCTGGAGGCTGAGGCAGGATGACAATTGAGTACTGCTTTGGCAAATTAGGGAGACCCTATCCCCAAATAAAAAAATCAAAATTAAATAAAAGAGCTGGTGATGACGTAGCTCAGTGGTAGAGCATCCTTGGGTTTATCCCCAGTGCTGCAAAAAATAAAGGAGGGAAGCCAGGGAGGATGGGTAGCAGGAGAAAGACGCCTTCCCTTGGTCTGAACTGCACCTCCCTTCTCTAGTTCTCCTTCCACATCACTAAGTTCTCCACGTTCCCTGAAGCACTCTGTGAGATCCCATAGCATGTGCTGTACCTTAGGCTTTGTTCTCCCCACTCGGGCACCATGAACATTGGATAGTGGGGCTGCTGAGGTGCGGTGGGTGAAGCTCGGCATGTCCCCCTCCTGTTGCTGCCGAGGGGCAGCCCGTGAACAGAGGGCAGGACAGGCCTCCAGGCCGCTCTTCCTCTCTGCAAGCAGGGAAGACACCACCCGTGCAACTCACCTCCCGTCAGCATGAGCGCGCACTTGCACATGCAGTTGTCGTGGTCCGCGTCCTTTGTGCTGAAGTCCGCGCCATGTAGGACCAGGCTGCTCTGCTTCCCTGCAGTGCCTGTGTGGCCTTTCAGATACAACCTGCAGGGGACAGGCAGACAGGGGAGGAGGTCAGCCACGCACAACGGGGCAGAACCCGAGGACCAGCTGCAGGATGTTTAAGTTTCTCAGCATCTTCTCTGTTCTTTGAACTCAGTCCTTTAACCAAATGGCTCTCTGAACTGAAAGTCAGAAGAAAAAAGGAAATAAAAGAGACAGGAGGGAGGCAGACTCCAGATCAAGTTAGGTAAGACTCTAAGGCATTTCTCTCACTGCATATAAACTCATAGTTCGCTGATGATGCAGGATTCAAAAAAGGACTATGGCTGGGGATGTAGCTCAGCAGCGCAGTGGCTGCCTGGCAAGTGCAAGGTCCTCAGTTCAATTGCCAGTACCAAAAGAAAATACACACATACATGCGTGCACACATGTACACACACACACACACACACACACACACACACACACACACACACAGACTGTGGGTTGTTCGTTATCACAGGCACTCATTTCAGAAGAAAACACCCTGTACAGCGTCAGGGCAGATGCTGCCCCATGGTTCTTGCTTCCCTGAGCAGTGTCCAAGACGAAAGGGACCCCACCCAGAGAAGGGCCGCAGGCCGCTCCTGAGCCCTAGGGTGAAGTGCCACCCAGAGCAGGGTACTCACACCCTGCAGTGGGAGCGCAGGGGCTGACCTAGGCTGCCCAGGTGGCTAGGACACCCTGGACCTAATGTGCTACAGAAAACCGGGAGTCTGAGTAAATCACATAATTAAAGACCAGCCAGGTTTTGTTGGTTGGATGAGGGGTAGAGCTGCTAGCAGGAGTGCAGACGACTCTAAGGCCAGCTTCTATTTTCAGCTCTGGGAAGCAGGCTAAAGGTCACTGGTGAGGCAGGGCAGCGGGCTTGGTTTGTTTGCTCCGCTGCTCTCGCGTGCCGGCTCACTCAGGCTGTGCCTGCCCCAAGGGGACAGGTCTCCCTGGGGAAGACTTAGGGAGCCCTCGATCAGCCGGTGTCCTGGGAAACGTCACGTTCAACATCACCGCCTTTCAGATCCGCCCTGAGGTCTTAGCGTGATCCCTCCCAGAGACCCTCAGGTCCCGAGCCCACGCGCACCCTTACGGGCACCAGCGAGCCAGGGGTCCCACTCAGCCATGGCAGGGTTACCGTGGGACCTGGCCTCGCGGTCTCGCAAGACAGATTCCATCCACAGAGCCACGTTGCGGCGAGGAAGCTGCTTGTCTGGGGAGCACAGAGCCGGAGCCAGGTGTGCACCCCTCGGCCGCAGCGATGCCCCAGCCGCCGTGGCCTGGACCTTACAGACTGAGCTCCTTCTGGGTGGGACTCCAGCGGACGGTGGCTGGCCACAGTGCACCCCTCCAGAGGCTGGACGCACTGCTCACGCTCTGAGCGGTGAGCGTGAGGGCTGCGGTCCGAGCCGCATAGCAGGCAGCTGTTTCTCTAGGTGACTGAGGCAAAAAGAATTCAAGACAGTATGTATTTAAAAAATAAGCCAAGCCACGTGGCCGAGCTGGGCAGCTGGACCGCTGCTGTTCCGGTGGCAGCACTGCGGGGGGGCCTCATACTATTTTCCGAAATGGCCTCGCTGATTCGCTGCTCCAGCACCGGATGGACGTGGGAGACGCCCCGCTCACGCTTCCGCAGCTAGACGAGGAAGCAATCTGGGTGCCCCGAGGGCGGAGGGGACAAGAAAGCGCGGCGCGGGTCCACAGTGCAGAGCTGCGCGGCCTGCGAAGGAAGGAAATGGGGTGACCCGCCGCAGTGCGGAGAGAACTGCAGACAGGCCGAGAGGCGGAAGCCGGAGTGGAAACCCCGTAATCTCGCTGATCTGTAAACGCTAAAGAAGTGAATCCCAGAAACAGAGCGGTGGCCGTGGGAAGCTCGAGAGAGGAGCGAGAAGCAGCCCCGAAAGATGAGGCAGCAGACTGGCCCCAAAGCAAAGCAAACCATGGACTCATTTGCAAGAGCTTGTAAACGTGTGCCAGGGAGTGACCGGGACATCCCCGAAGCGAACCTGGGGCGCTCTCGGAAGGGACCTGGCAGGTGGCTGTGTGACAGTGCTCTGCTTTCGCAGAAATTCTGGTGACATCTCGACGACAAGGCTGTGAGAAGGAGGGGGGCACGGTTGGTCCTGTGTGGATGGACGAAGCCACAATTTAGGATGCAGCCAAGAAGCACAGACACCCACGCAGAAATCCCAAGCAGGAGCTGGTGGCTCGTGTAGTGTAAGTATGCAAGGAAGAGAAGTCAAGAATCCGCCAGTGAGTGTGACAGAAAGTCTCACTTCTCCGCACACTCAGCACAAGTGAGCCCTGAGAGGCGCGCAGCATGGCGAGCGTGTGGCGCCCCGTGTGGGCTGCAGCCGGTCTCCTGCCCTCCTGACTGTCAGGCGCCCCTCAGTACAAAGCTCTCATAGCAGCAGCACCCTCCTAACACTGCCATGGCACAGAACAGGGCAGCAGCACCTTAGAAGGGTGGCCTCGTGCAGCACAAGCACTCCAGTGGTAATAAAAGAGAAAGCAAAGGGCGCACACTGCGCTAAGCAACAGTGACAGTGTGCAGGGAAGGTAGGTCAACAGTAGCTGTGTGGGCCGCCCAGTGTGAGAGGAACAAGGACAAACAGCTGCTTTGCTGACCAGGGCATAGCCTAATGGCCACTCACCTTGGACCCTGGACTCACCCTGGACACCGCGCGAATAACAATCCTCTCATTCAGCTATTTGCCCAAGCCCACCAAGCCCCAGTCTTTCAGAACCCCGTGATCTTTGTGTTGTGTAGCAAGATGCTTTATTAATCCAGCCACGTTCGGTGTGTTTCCCTGCTTCACCCACGTTAGGGCGACAATCCTTGCAGGTCATCCCCCAGCCTCTCTCATTCTGCAGACCTTGTCACCTCCAAGCTTCCTGACTTGGTGTCCTTTTTGTCTGGCAGAATTGGGTCAGGAAGAAGCACCAGGATCTGTGCGCACTGATGCAGCATTGTGCTAAGGAGAGGACATTATTTCACTTGCATCCTGAGCCTTGATACCTGCTCGTCGGTGCCCATGCCCCTGATGGTGCTGAGACTCTGTGCTGTGATTAAGAAAGCTTTGCTGCTGGAGTTATGGGCCGCTTCAGCTTCAGCGAATCTGGCTTCACTCGCTTTCAGATTCCAGTGTGACCGCCTTATGCATACCTTGGTTGCACATGTCCCACCTGTACAGTTTCACTCACCAAGTTCTGATGGCATGCATTTTCAGTGTCATCACAGACTCTGTCCAAAAGAGCTTGCCAACCATTTGGGTGTTGAGCTCTCAGTACTGGGAACCCCATCGCAAGTGACTTCTGCTTCGAAAGCATGTTTTTCAGTGATAGGAAGCTTGTAAACGTTCAAAACACAGGTGAAGTTAGTGAGGTATGGTGGTGCATGCCCAGCTGCTAGGGAGGTAGAGGCAGGAAGATTGCAAATTCAATGCCAGCTTAGATTATTTAGTAAAACCCTGTCTCAAAGTAAAATTTAAAAAGGATTTGGGAAGGACCAGCCAAATAGCTCAGTGGATTAAAGCACCTGCCAGCAGGAACAGGGTCTGGGGGTTTGATCCCCGGGCCTGCCGTGCCGGCCCTGACCACCCCCAGGGTACGCTGAGATGGCAGTTGAGACTGGGTGTGGTGATGCGTGCCTGTTATCCCAGCTCTTGGGAGGCTGTGAACAGGTGGATCACTACAAGTCTAATCTAGTAGTGAGACCCTGAACACCCTGTAAAACCTTGTTTGAAATACAAAAAAGCATTGGGAAATAGTTCAGTGGGAGAGCACCTGACTAATGTGTGAAGCCACAGCCTCAATTTTCATATATCTATATCTATATCTATATCTATCTCGCCATAGAGATTCCTTGTCCAAAGGGACCGGTGGCCCCAACGCAACACCGTTGGCTGCATCTGCTCCTGCTGATGGAGCACTCTCTGTTGGACAATAAGATACATATTTTATTCATGAGATTTGCGCCAATGAAACTGTATTCCCAAAGTTCAAAGATATATATTGTAGAACATATCTATTTTTAGTAAAATAAGTAAATACAAAGTTCTTGCCTTGTTCCTTTCTTTTCCTAATATTTCATTTTACAACTGAGCACTAACATGAACTATGTGGCCTTGAGGTCCCTGGAGGGCACTGAGTTCCCTCCACACACTTCGTCCCTGTGAGCACTCAGGAGGTCCGAAGCAGCAGCAGCAGGCATGGCCCCATGGGCCCCAGGGCTCTGTCCTCTTCCCCCCAGCCGTGGGCTTTGCCCTGCCCACCCCTGCCTGCCCTCGGCTCAGGAACCCCGGCTGCTCCATGCCCAGCCTGCCCTGCCACCAGCTCTCCTCCACACACTCTGTGTCTCTGGAGTGACCGCCCATCCCCTGCATGGTGCCCTCATTGCCTGGTGGCCTCTCCTGCCAGGCCTGCCTGCGCTGTCACACAGCTGGAGACCCGGGGCAGGTGACAGTCATAGGAAGTCTAGGGCTGCTTCCCAGAGGGGAGCTGGCAGTGAGTTTGTGGGGTGCAGGTTTCTGAGTCCCGCTGCTGCTTCCTTAGCAGGACTCCTCTGGGATCCTGACGTGGAACAGTCCCGGCATCTTTGTGCTCATTGGCCCTGAAGAGTTCCAGACTGGAGAGAGACATTGATCTGCATGAAAATCAAAGGACTTCCTGACCCCAGCAGGTGCACAGTGACCCCGTAAGAGCTGGTGTGCACCTGCACGTCAGTGTTTCCTCCTGGCAGAGGTACAAGACTCTGCCTGCTCAGGACACTCAGCAGGGGCATACTGTGTGTCCCCTGAGCCACCAGAGTTCAGGCAGACTGAGGAGCTTTTATTGGTCTTTTCATTAATAAAACTGATTTTTAAAAACTGGCAGGAATGTGTTAATCCCTTCCAGATTTTAGGAAGTAACCTCGTGCATGCACACACACACACACACACACACACACGCACATGCACACGCACATGCACACAGTAAAAATAATATGCCTACCAAAGTAGATACATTATTTG